ATGCAATATTCCTCCTGCATGTACACCTCTATGCCAGAAGAGGGCACCAGACCTCATCACAGATGGTTATGAGCCATCAAGTGGTTGCTGGGAACTGAACTCAGGACCTCTGGAAAGGCAGCCAGTCTTCTTAACCCCTGAGCCATCTCTCCAGCCCCAATCCAATCTATTTTAAATTAAATGCCAGTGACCATGGCCCGGGAGCACAGAGGCTGTCCATGTTTCTGTGTGGAAATGCTTTCATGAGGTTTTTATAGTTATGCTACCAAAGAAAGTTATAATTAAGGGATTTTCCAAATTCGTGGGTGGGAACATCAGGTGGGTGGGTCACATCAAAGCCGGGGAATCTCTGTCGTAGGTCTCAGTTACTGCTTGATGACATTCTTAGCTTTTGGGTGGGTAGAAGTTAGTGGTTTGTTAGTACATTCTGAAGGTGTTTCATTGCTGCTGTTATTTGGATGTGTTTGTATGTTTGGTTGGCTTTGGTTTTCCTGGTCTGGTAGCTGAAAAGGCATTAAGTCAGAGTTAGGTATGAATGGGTAGCACTAAAGATAAATCAAGATAAAGGGGCTCTGAATCTGTAACATTCCTACGATGCAACACAGTGACAAAGTTCTAATCGGCCAATCAGTCTTGCAGGTTAACGTGGGTGTGGCTTATTTTACTTGCTGTTCCATCCGTACTTTCTGTGTGATGCAACAGGAATTCTATGGATACAGGAGACGATGGCCCACTTGTCACATGATCACAATTCCACACAATCTGCTGCCTTCACAGGCTTCCTTCTGTCTCGCTCAGCCTTCCCTGTGTTGGTTTCAGTCTCGCTCAGCCCTCCCTGTGTTGGTAGACTTCAGCCTGGGTTTCCAGCTCACCTCGGCTCCAGAGGAAATGTGTTCTGAGTCTCACAGAGCATGCTGCTCTGTGCTTCACTGGCTGAAGCTTCTTGGTGTAGTCACATTTAGCTTGAAGGAAGGATTGAGACATGGATTTTTATCTGTACAACAGCTTGTCTAACTGTCCCCAAAAGAAAAAAAAGGATGATTCTTGGGAGGGTACTAGACACTTCTGTCACATTTTCTAGTCATGAGTTAGTAGATGGCTGTCATGTGAACGCAATTAGGTATTTCTAATTTTGCACCTGAAGGCTGAAGGGTGGTCAGCCCTTAAAGGCTGTTCTTAGCAGGGTAAGACTAGGGGACCACACTTCTGCAGTCAGGAACACTGCTGGCTACAATCCACCATGCTTCAGCATGGAGATAAGAGGAGGAAACAATGGGACCCACCTCACCAAACTCCCAGAACTCCAAGGATCCATATGAAGGCAGCGTAGCCATTATTTCCAAACCCGATGAAACCACACACAGAAAAGGAGGTTATATAACCAACCTCTCGTGCATATAAAAATCATCAACCATGAACTATGCTCACTGAGGGAGGAGAAAAAGACGTTTTAGCATTTTTTACCGTGTGTGCCTTGTGTCTATATGTATTTTATGTATTCACACATGTATGTTTGTGGTTGCACACACGTGTGCAGAGGCCGAAGGTCAATGATAGATGACATCCTTGTTCACTCTCCACTTCATCATTGAGCTCTGGAGGGCTACAGCAGTAGTGTAACATGCATGTTCCATGAAGTTCTTAGGTGGGAGCTGGGGTTCCAAACTCGGCCCTCATGTGCATATAGTAGTCATTTTGACAACTGAGCTATTTCCTTCACCTGAGAAATACGTTCTGAGAAAAGCATTTGACAAAAGGAAATGCAGATTTATCCTTGAGAAAAATGAACAGCTTTGGAATTTAGGTGATGATGTGCCCATCTCTGCTTAAGAGCAGTACTAAGTGTTCCACTGTGGGGCAGAAAATTGATGGAGAGGAGGCTGTGTGTGTGTAAATTTCCTACATAGTCCCCACTATTTTTCCTGTGTAAAATTACCATTCATGTCAAAGGTAACCCAAAAATATTTAAACAGTTAAGATAAAGCTCGTTTGTTTTGTTTTGTTTTTTGAGACAGGGTTTCTCTGTGTAGCTTTGGAGTCTGTCCTGAAACTCACTCTGTAGCAGGCTGGCCTCGAACTCACAGAGATCCACATGCTTCTGTCTCCTGAGTGCTGGGACTAAAGGTGTTTGCCACCACCGCCTGGCTAAGATAATGCTTTTAAGTCCTTTATTTTTTGTCACAATAAAGTAATACTTACCTTAACCTGTTAAAGTATATTTTAAAATCTATAGCAAAGATCATATTTAATAGCAGTATCTTCCTTGAAGTAAGAAATAAATCAGTGGCTAAAGAGATGGCTCAGCAATTAAACTTCCAGAGGTCCTGATTTCAGTTACTAGCAACCACATGGTGGCTTGTAATGGAATTCGATGCCCTTTTCTGGTGTGCAGACAGACATGCAGACAGAACACTCATACACATAAATAAAGACATCTTTGGGACTGGAGAGATGACTCAGAAGTTAAGAGCACTTGCTGCTCTTCTAGAGGACCTGGGTTAAATTCCCAGCCCCACATGGCAGTTCAAAACTGTCTGTAACTCCAATTTCAGGATTTCTGACACTCTCATAAGATGTAAAACACCAATGCACATAAAATAAAAAATAATAAAGAAATAGATCAATAGTACTTACTGTTCTCCTTCCTATTTAATTTACATTGACAGAAGAAATAATTAAGCAAAAGGTCAACAAATGCAGAAAGCTGTCATTCCTTAAAACGACGTAATGGATGCTTTGAAAGCTCAAAAGAATCAGCACACTGTTTACTAATAACCGGGTTCGCAAAGTTGGCTGGATACAGGATCAGCATAAAACCTTAATTCTTCTCTGTAAGCCAGGAGTAAAGAGAAAATGAAGTATGGACAGATGATATTTATTGACTATAAGATGAAAATAGACTTAGGGATCTAACGGAATCTGCACTAGGGCTTTACACTGCAAACTGCAAACACTATGGATGTTGGCGAACACCTGAGAAGAGCTACAACACACGTGGGTTAGAGCCTGCAAGGTTGTGAACTTCTCAGCTCTCCCCACAAAGTAATCCAGAGGCTTACTCTCTCCAGACAGCAAACTAGCAAACTCCCTCCCTCCCTCCTTCCTTCCCCCGACACACAGACACACAGACACACATACATATAGACACATACACAGCGACACACACACAGAGACACACAGACACACACACACACCCTCCCTTCCTTCATCCCTCAGCCCATTTTTCTTACTCTGTTTGCATATTGACAAGCAGTTATCAAATCAGTAGGAAGCACAAACAGCCAAGAACAAACAGTCTTAGAAAAGAGGTCAAAGCTGGGAGGCAGCTGCCTTGAACTGTGGGACGGCACAGATGGGGTAAGCACTGGGCAAATCACCATGAACCAAAATGACCATGTAGAGTCTGGCAGCAAAACCACACACCATCCAGTCTCATGATACAGGACAAAGGTGACACAGTGTGCGTAGGAAGGAGACGTTGTCAACAAACAGGGCTTGTTCACCTCTTGTCCTCCCTCTCACACCATGGACAAAAGTCCTTCCCGAAGAACTGGAGATTCCCGCGAGAAAGATAAAACCAGAAAGCCGTCAGAGGAGGTGCGGAAGACCGCACTCTGACGGCGGGCAGCCGTTTCTAAGACGGGCCATATCTGTACCTCTCTCATTACCATCTCTGCTACTCTCCCAGAATTCTGACGGTGCTGGAAATCAGGCACCTCTTAAAATGCTGAGTTAGCTTTGTGTCTGCTGGGATCAACCTTGTACTTCCTCCAGCGGCACCTAGACTTGGAGAGGGTTTTTTCAGAATAAGCAATCTAAGAACAGAGTGTATGTGCTAAGCTGGTAATTACATGTACATGCTGATCGCCGAGCACAGACGTGTCTTTATGATACAGAACATACAAGCAGCAAGTGTCCCGCTGCAAGGCCACACATGCTGTGGTGCTGCAGCTCACCAGCAAACTCAACCAGTTTGAGAATGGCGCCCGTGTTGTTAGCTGCTGTACCTTGACCAACGCAGCAGTTTTTCAGCTACTGAAGAACTTTGGGGGGAGGGGGGAATTATCTGTTAGGCACACTCCAAGGTCCTGAAATTAAATGACCTCTCTGAGTTCATTTTCCCATGTGTTCTTCACAAAGAAGTCAAGATGATTTTTTTGTTTGATTTAACTATCCTTTTTTTTTTTTCTTAAATGCTGGGAGTGAATCAGGAGCCTTTGCATGGTAGACAAGTTTTTTTTGTTTTTGTTTTTGTTTTTTTTTTTTTTAACTGAGCCCCAGATGAATTTAAAATGTAAATTAGACTCAGTCACACTAGTGCTTTTAAACATTCCAGGGAGGAGAAAGTCTCACTTGGGCTGAGGCTCTTAACTGGTTATTTAATACAAGTAGATCATATACACACAAGTCTCACTAAATGGGCCCATCAGGTTGTATTGGTATATTTATGCATTTATATACATGTAACAACAATAATAATAATAATGAGGCCACCAGTTAGAGACAAAAGGGCATGGGAGGAGTTGGAGGGAGGAGAAAAATTGGAGGAAGTGATATAATTATTTTTATTTTAAAAAAGGTTGCTGATAAAGTTAAGAGTGTGTTAAAAAGAAAAGAAAAATTCCCAGTGGCATACATAGCAATGCCCAACCTATACTGTGCATTGGTTTGCGAGGGCAGGATGTCAGAGCAAGTTCCTCACTCAGGCAAGGGAATACTTGAGCTCCATGGCAAAGGAAAGGCAAGAGTCTAAGACAGAAAAGTAACTGTTGCCAGGAGAGGGAACTGTGAAGAATGTCAGGTGCAAAGGGGACTTCTGTGTTATGGGAGCCAAGCAAGGGCAGAGGCTGTAAATGAAGACCATATCGCCCTCCTTTCGGGCCCCTCATCGATACAGTTCACCAGGCCTCGGCATTGGCCAGACACGCCACGTGCTATAAGGAGGAGATGCTCCCTACACGAGGCTCATACAGCTGTAAAACAGTGGTGTCTTCTTTCAGGTCTCCCCGGCTCTGTTGCCCCGCCGCTCCTTGCACCCTTTTGCCATGTTGACAGCACCCAACGCAGCAGAGTGTAACCGCAGACAGAGTAAGTCTGCTCCCTTCCCTTCCGGCTGGAGAGAAAGTTAACTAGGAGGCAGGCCTGCCAGGTGAGGTCACTGATGACCAACTGATGAGAACACTGATAGATTTCTGTCTGGTGAGAATTGTAAAAACCAGGATCCTTCATAACTTGACGTTCCCCTCCCCAACATCACCCTAAACTGGAAAGTTTATTTCTTAGACTTTTGTTGAGGGCGACAGAAAGGCAAGATCTGACACAGCGGTGGACACATTCTTCTGTAGTTTTATGCTCTAATGTGGTCACTCTCCCTGTCTGCAGGTGTCAAGCTGAGGGAAGGGGCAATGACAAAAAACACCTCCAGCGGCTCTACCAAGAAAGCAATGGTTCAGAATGGAAATTCCGGAAAAGATGCTCACATACACAGCTCAAGAACAAGGTACATCTGAACATGGATGACGTTGATGTGTTGAATGTTGAGTATTTGGAGTCTGAGGTTCTGGATGTGAATACAGAGCCCATTATTTATCTACTGTATGGTTTTGAACAGGCTAAGTAACCAATCTGTACCTTAGGTTCCTCCTTCCAAAAAAATGAGAATAAGTAACTCACTGATTAATTGGGATTCTGGATGAATGGTGAGAATGGTACTTGGTACGTGGTCAAGCCTAAATATTAGCCATGGCTAGCTTTCAACTCTTGAAAATCACTCTTCACAAGCAAAGCAGCTGTTTCTCAGTTTCTTCAGATAGGGCGGCTGATTTTAGCATCTACCTACAATGTTCCAGATGAGGATTCTGTCACAAAGGAGAACTTCATGGCATCTCCCAACTCCTGCCCTTTCTTTTTGCCCACCCACCCTGTTCTCAACTGCTATGTAGAAGGATGTAGAGACTAGTCAGAGGTAGACAGGGCTGGAGGGAAAGCAGCAAGATTCTGTTGCAGTTGTCATTGTCACTATAGTTACCACAGCTCTGGGTTCTCAACCTTAATGTGTAAGGTGAAAATAAATTAAACAGAAGTTGGAGAGACTAATTTGGTCAGTGTGCCTGTCTTAGGATTTCTATTGTCATGAAGAGACACCATGGCCACATCAGCACTTATAAAGGAAACGTAATTGTGGTGGCTCCTTACAATTCAGAGGCTCAGTCTGCTATGGAAGGGAGCATGGCGGCATGCAGGCAGATGTGGTGCTGGAGCTGAGAGTGCTACACATCCTGGCTCAGAGGCGACGGGAAGGCGACTGCCTGTCACACTGAGTGAAGCTTGAGAGAAAGACCTCAAAGCCCCCTCCACACACACACACACACACACACACACACACACACGGTGACACACTTCCCACAGAAGGGTGTGTGGCCCAGATTAAAGGTTTACCTTACAGTCTCAAGGTCTGGATTAAAGGTGTGTGTCATCCAGCCTCCTCCAATAAGACCACACTTCCTCCAACAAGGCCACACCTCCTAACTGTGCCACTCCCTATGAATTTATGGGGGCCAATGACACTCAACCCACCATGGTAATAAAAGCTGAGATGGGAGAGCTCCAGAGGGAAAGTGGATTTGTCCTCTGGGATGTTTGGGGATCAGGCCTCTGTAGAATGGGAGACTCCAGATGAGCTGGAAGGTCAGGAGGCAGGAAACGGAAGAGAGTTGCGAACTGAGAAACAAACTCGTGTTTGTAGCTGGAACCTCAAATGAAATTTCATTCAGTTGGTGCTTTATCGTGCATGTTTCCGTGTGAATCTTCAAACCAACTGAATGGTATGGTGCTAAGGATTTACTCAGGCCCAGAAACAAACTAACTGATTAGAAATATAACCAACACCATGCACACATATACACACATGCACACACACACATGCACATGTACACACACGCACACACACATGCACGCACACACATATACACACATGTACACACATACACACATGTACACATGTAACACATACACACATGCGCACACACATTTTTAAAAATAGAAAAGACATACGACCTCCTCACAGGGATCGCTTTAGGGACTTCTGGGATTGTCTGAGTATATCAATTCTTAACACTATTACAAAATTAGAAATCTGGGGAAACAGCCATCTACTGGGTTTTCTTTTGAAGACACTTGCTATAACGAGTTTTAAGAGCAAAGACTTCCTTGATCCACACCTTTGCTTCTGAGGAACTGTATAAAGTCAGATGATATCAGCTTTCGTGTTTGGCAGCAGCAGGCTTTGGAAAGCAAAATAAGACAGCAAATGAAAATCAGTAACAGCACACATGAACATGTGTGTGTGTGTGTGTGTGTGTGTGTGTGTGTGTGTGTGTGCATACCACACACAGACACACCCTGATAATCTGGACAAAGGGTAACTGTGCAAAGACATCTTCAGACCTGGTTGGCAGACCCACTGAGACTCATGTATGGGTCTGTCTAACAAAAACACAGCTCTAAATATTTCAGTTTTAGACATGATTTGGGTACTTTTTCAAAAGTATAATTCCATCCCAAGTGTCTCCTCCCACAACCATCAGTGGCCTTTTGGCTTCTCGAGGACAGCGGAGCTCTCATTTCCTCCGAGTCTCTCAAGTGCAGGGAGGGCTCTGCAGGCTGTGCGGTGCACACCTCCTGTGCAGATGAGCTGATAGCATGGCTCTGGGGCGTTAGGTGACCAGAGACCCCTTCCTAAGTGCGACCCAGGTCTACTGACTCCGTCTCTGGCTCAAGCCCATCTTTAAATGAATCTCTCCCAGAAAGGCCGCTCTTAAAAACAGAAAATTCATTTGTCCTTCCTTTCTTCCTTCCTTCCTTTCTTTCTTTCTTCCTTCCTTCCTTCCTTCCTTCCTTTCTTCCTTCCTTCCTTTCTTTCTTCCTTCCTTCCTTCCTTCCTCCCTCACTCACTTCTTTCCTTCTTTTTAGTTTTTTGAGACAAGGTTTCTCTGTGCAACAGCTCTGGCTGTCCCAGAACTTGTAGATCAGCTTGGTCTGGAACTCACAGAGATCTGCCTGCTTCTGCCTTCAGAGTGCGGGGATTAATGTGTCTGCTGCCACCACCAGACCATTTGTGCTTTCTTTTTTATGCATATTATTTGTATAATTTATGCACTTTTCTAACTCCTGGCTATTTTTAAAAACTACTTTATAAAATAGGATGGTAAAATTATAGTGCAACAAGTGGAAGGACTGTCCCTTCCCTGCACTCCTTTCCCATGGTTTATAACTAACAACTGTTCACATTTCTTATGCTACTCCAATATTTGCTTTATATATACAAACACATCTGCAAATGTAACACTGCTTTTTTTAACAATTCTTACTTTAATTAAATAAATAAATATTTTATTACATATATAGAAAATATGATTTTATAGTTTGCTGTTTGAGGGATTTTTTTTCTTTCTTTTTGTCTTTTTTGCGGGGTGGGAGTTCAAGATAGGGTTTTTCTGTGTAACCTTGGCTGTCCAAGAACTCGCTCTGTAGATCAGACTGGTCTTGAAATCACAAAGATCTCCCCTGACTCTGCCTCTCAAGAGCTGGGTTTAAAGGTGTACACCACCACTGACCAGCTCTTTTTTTTTTTTTGAGGAACTTTTTTATTTTAATATTTGGGATTCATCATTTTCCCTTACGAATTATAGATATAATGTCATATCTTTGAGCTGAAAAAGACCCACTTTTTAAACCTTTAAGAATTAAAACAATTCTTTCTTCATAATTTTATTTTTGTTTCCAGTCAAACTAAGAGAAAGGCAAAAACTGTTTTCAAAACTAGCAGTTATTCTGGGAAACTTTTAAGGATTTAAAAGTGACTTATTTTAACCAAAATGGGTAAGAGCAGCGTTCCCTAGGAAAGCTTATCCCTCTGTGCTGTGCTGCTTTCCTATAAAAGCAATATTGTGTACCTCACTGGGTTGCTTTGAGAAATAAATGAGCTAACGTATATATAAAAGCTCAGAGAGTCACCAAGACTATACCAGCAGACAGGCACCTGTTCCTTCTCTTTCCATTCCCAGAGAACCCATGGCACTGTGGAAGGAAGCCAGATAGAGGGAGGAGAATTTAGACTTAAACCCAAAGCAATATATGCAAAACCTTAAAATAACATGTTACCAGCACAGCGCTAGAAAACTACTGATGTTGGGGAATGCTAGTCCAAAGAAGTTTGACTTTCATGATTTTTAAATTTAATTTTGAAATAATTGCAAGCTTAAAGAAATGCTGCCATGGTACAATGGACACAGATTCACCATCTCTCGTTGCTGTGTGTTCCCTAGCTTCATGCTTTCTCTTTGTTTCTTCGCCCTTCTGTGTTTTTGTTCGTGTATATGGATATTGTAAATCTTTTCTGAGCTATTAAAACTTGTACATACCCCATCAACTTAGCCTGCGCATTTTACTTTGAAGCTCCTGAAAGCAAAGGCATTCTCTTAAGCAACCAATCATTAACTCCAGAATCTAAAGCACCGCTATTTTATCTGTCACTCAAATAGTGTTTATTTATTTATTTATTTATTTTGATTTCCCAAATAGCGTCCCTTTTAAGCATTCATTGTGAGGTCACACACTGCAGTCAGTTGAGAAATGTAATTCATTTTCAGATATTTCAGAATGTCCCATGAAAATTCTTTTACATCTTCACAGATCTAACCTATCTCTGGTACCTAATGTTTGACTTGAACTTCCTATCGATAGAAAGCTACCTTATGTGTCTGTGCTATAAGGATGTTCTTGGTACCAAAGCCATCCTCTCATTCTGCAGGTCACTTAGAAATGAGAACTAGTACCATGGATGCACAGCAGAGCCCCTGGGAGCAGACAAGAAGCTCCGCCTTGAAGCTGCAATCGTCACCAGCACACCCTTTCTCTGTAGTTCGCCAACGCTGTCAATGGCATTGACTCTCAAGCCTGCCCTTAGCCTTTCTCTCTTGGAAGCACATTGCACACCTATACTCTGGCAAAAGGAAAAAATGTGTATATCCCATGCTATTTCATTTTACGCCTGGAAAACTGCTGGAGAATTTGGAGGGGGCTCACGGTTCCTGGATGGGTGGGTTTAGACAGTCTGGTTTTGATACACATTTTAGCAAATGTGTAGCATTAAATATTGCATAGAATGCTGGAGAAGGAGGTGGTTTTCCAAAGTGTTAACCCTAAATAGAATTAATTTCTCATTAGCATTCTTCCAAATAGAGAAAATGTAAGCTCATAAGTTTACATTCAATAAAGTTTGCAAAGAGAAATGGATGCTGGCTTTCTCTGGTGATGACCTCTAGGGAAAAAAAGTCTGCTGCTCTTCGGGCGCACTTCCAAAATGACGACAAGGCACACGGTTTAACCAGATTCAATACCAGCTTCATCAGATGAATGGCAATATGCTGTAGCTCTCTTCCTTGAGGACTGGGCTGGCCAGCTTTCTGCAGAATAGTCCCAGCGCCACAGGCAAAGTCAGGTGAGTTTGTTGACCTTTTCTGAAAATAAGTGGTGTACACCCAAGTGAGGCTGTGTCTGGGGAGTTCTGGGGAGCCTTTTACATAGTGCTTGGTCACAGCGGTACTTGAGGCTCACCAACCTGGAACACAAGATGGATGCAGAGAAAATCAGTGGCCGATGGTCCTTGCCAAGACTCCAGCTGCCGGGGACTTGGTCCAGTTTGCCTCTGTGCAGCTTGCTGGCCATGAGAAGACATTCTTTGCTGTCTGTGCTTTCACCATCCGGACATGTCAGTGAGTGATGGCTGAGGGTTTTCACGCAAACGCTGTGCCTGCATTGCCAACTCTACTTGGGTGTCAGCTGAGAGTCCCCACATGGGCATGAAGCAAAATTATGTTTGAGTTCACTTCTTACACATACATAGGATGGAATAACAGAAGAGAATTCAAGATTTGATGATCCTCCATTCCTGCTCAGCTGGCAACAAGAAGGAAGTTCTGATGGTGGCCATCCTGGCTCAGGAAAACTGATGGTTTGGTGAGGGAAAATGCATACAAATCATAGAAGTGGTTTTAAGAGCAAAACATAACCCTGGAAAGGGTGGTGACAAAAAGAACGGAAAGTTCTATGTCTTTCTGTCCTGATGAGAATGCCTTGGGTTCTTGGCTGATCTACTAGTTTTAGACCAAGAAGTGTTTAGTCTCATATATATATGTTTTTAAGTCTCAACTCAAAAATCATACACTTAAAAATTAATTTTACTACTTTTGCCCACTGAATTTGCAATATGTATTTATAATAGAAAATTAAGAAAATTTTTAATTCAAAAGGAAGAAACAATATGAGGACCTATATATAAAATTATCATTCCTTGGTGGCCACAGTTGATGTTTAGTCTCTACACAGTTCCTATCCTTTTATCGTAAACTTCAAAAAATTAAATCTGTATTATACAGATAAAGACATGCAGCTGCTTTTCAGTTAGAGGGTTTTGGTTTGTTTTTCTGCTAACTCTTGGTGCCTCAGATGCTTCTGGAACTCATATGATTCTCATGAGCACAGATGGAAGCCCCGGCCTCCACCTCAGCGCTTTCTATAGGCAAACATTGCGAACTGCTGGGTCCATAAAGTATTTCTAGAGAGCTGCATAGGATGTGATGCGCGCCCTTTTGTCTCCAAGGTCATAATGGCTCTGCTGACTTTAATTCCTTTCACTGGAGTTAGTGTGGACAACTCGAAAATGCCAGAGAGAATGAGAGCCCCCTACCCCATGATCCCAAATGAAAAAGCAGGAGAACCCAGAAATCCCCTCACGTGTTACCCCCAGCGGTTCCCTTTTGTGTTGTTCATGCCAACACAGCAGCCATCCTGCTGTATATATATCAGCTGCCACGCCTGTCTCCATCACACTCAACACTGATCACTTGCTGTCAACAACGATGGGAAAGGTGAGCCAAGAAAGAACCTCCAGGTTTGTGCAGTGTTGTCTCTGTGTCGGGGATGTGCCTTCCAGCTGACCGTGTTCCCCTGTCTTCCCTTTCCAGATCACCTTCTACGAGGACCGCGGTTTCCAGGGCCGCTGCTATGAGTGCAGCACAGACTGCCCCAACCTGCAGACCTACTTCAGCCGCTGCAACTCCATTCGAGTGGACAGTGGCTGCTGGATGCTCTATGAGCGCCCCAACTACCAGGGCCACCAGTACTTCCTGAGGCGTGGGGACTACCCTGACTACCAGCAGTGGATGGGCCTCAGCGACTCCGTCTGCTCCTGCCGCTCCCTTCCTTATGTAAGCATTGCTTCAGCGGGACCGATGTGAGAGCAGCAGCTGTTCCTGTTGGTCACTTTGTTTCCACTCGAGTTCTAGTGTTCACTTTGTTTCCACTCGTGTTCTAGTGTTCTCGCAAGGACAGGAATGCTCGGCATGCGCTCACACTAAGTATATCAGGCCTGATTCTCAAACCTAAATAGGAGGAATATGAATGCATACGCTCTTACTTAAGGACATCAATGTTGTTTTAGGACATAAAAGCCATAATATGACGTGTAAAGTTAAACTTGGCTAAATAATTGCATACCCTTCACCTGTAAAAAAAAGGAAATCCCGTCATTTGCAATAACATGGATGAACGTAGAGGGCACTGTGCTAGAAGAAGTAAGCCAGGCCTGTAATGATAAAGACCACCTGTTCTCTAAAGCCGCAGGTTCATGGAGGGAGAGGAGATGGGGTTGGAGATTTTGCTCGGTGGTAGCATGCTTGCCTAGATGCAGCCCTGAGTTCTGCCCTTGGCAACAGTTCTGTTCTACTTACTAAGGCTAGTGTGATAGAGCAGGGGACCAGAGGTTTGCAGTGATGATCAGAAATTAAAAACTCACAGCTAGAGAGAAGAACTATGTCCTAAAGATCTATTTTATACCACATCGATGACAACTCATGCTATGTATTAGAATCATTAAAAATGCTAAAGCTGAGGCTGGAAAGATGGCCCAGTGATTAAGAGCACTGGCTACCCTTGTAGAGGACCTGAGTTCAATTCCCAGCACCTACAGGTGGCTCACAACTGTCTGTAACTCCAGTTCCAGGGAATCCCATATCCTCTTTTTGGTCTCCATGAACACCAAGCACAACTCATGTAGTATATTTACATACACACAGGCAAACACTCATACACATAAAATAGAAATAAATACATCTTAAATACACAATGAAAACACTGAAAGAATGAAGTCTTTGTCTTCTCACCACAAAATGATAATTATGTGGGGTAAATATATATTTGCTAGGTAGTTTTAACCATGGCGCATACTTTAAAGCACCATGCTATACCAAATAAATATACACATACTACTTGTCAATTTAAAAATATATAAGTACATTTGAAAGTCAATTAATTAAATTTGGTTAGTTCTAGTGTAATCCAGCTGTATTGGTGAGATATTTCTTCACAATCTACCCTCACACTCACCTAGAACAATGGATCTCAATTTGTGTGGCTTTGTGTTTTGCAGGAGTCATTGTTGACTAGTTTCTTATGAGACAGGTAATTAGGATTTCATGAGATACAGTCCACATTTCCTGTGTGTGTGTTTAAAGAAAGAAAAGAAAAATAAAGGTGCATCATTGCACAGCATGTGTACAAAAGGTGGCTTCACAGCAAGCTTGGCAGGATTCGGTTACACAGGCAGTACATGCTCTGCCTTTTGGTGTTAGTGTCCTCCGCAAAGCCTCCAGTTCACTGGTCAGCTCAGCTTTATGTTAGTGCATTTCCTAATTTGTTAGAACAACAGCACAAGAATAGGATTAGGGGAGAAGCATGCTTGACAGATTCGCCTGAAACCCGTGTTTTCTGAAAGTGCAAGCAGGCTGCAATACCAAGTATATAAATCATTGCTTTTCCCTTTTGTTGGTCTTCACAATAGACCAGCTCTCACAGGATAAGGCTGTACGAGAGAGATGACTACCGGGGCCTTGTGTCTGAGCTCACAGAAGACTGCTCCTGCATTCACGATCGTTTCCGCCTCAGTGAGATCTACTCTCTGCATGTGCTGGAGGGCTGCTGGATCCTCTATGAGATGCCCAACTACCGAGGCCGGCAGTACCTGCTCAGACCCGGAGACTACAGGCGCTACCATGACTGGGGCGCCATGGATGCCAAAGTCGGCTCTCTGAGACGGGTCATGGATTTGTACTAAACCTCATTTTGCTTGTTACAATCCACACACATGCAATAAATATATAACTTGTGTCCATGGCACAAAGTGGCTCTTGTTTATCTTTAATATCTAAATTTTATTAGATAGTATCTTAAGAAACTTTCCCAAGCCTGAAAATGTTGTGAATGCTCACTTACTTTCTTCCAGTCAGGAAACAGTGCTTATTGGAAGACCCACACCTGAGTGACCTCTGGGCCTGCAGGAGAGAGAAAAGATGAACACAAGCAACCATTAGAACCCAGAGAAAAGAGAAAATGTAAAGCATGCCTGTGGCTACACCACCCGTGACAAGGGGTTGTTAAGGAATGGGGCAGGTGATATCTTACAAAGAAATACTCAAGAAAATACGCCCAAGGGGCTGGGGAGATGCTCAGTGAATGAGACACTTGCTGCACAAGTTTAAGAATCAAAGTTCTGACACCCGGAACATGCACAAAGCCAGAAGTGGTGGTGCACATCTGTAATTGCTGTGTGTCTACAATACAATGGGAGACAGGCAGGAAAAACCCCAGAAGTGGTGGTGCACATCTGT